ATGGGAAGCTATTAGAGCCATATACTCACATCTAATTAAATCCAATAAGATTACTTTCTGTTAATGTGTCGACAGCGGAGCTGTTCTGAATTCCTCCTCCCATCTCGCGCCTGCTGATGAATGCGTGGGTGTGTTAAGCTAGCCCAGCATGCTGGGGCCTGAGTTCAAGGCTTTGTGTTTCTCCTGATGCTGTGGGTGACGTGACCTTCCCTTACAGTACAGGATTCGAACTACCGTGTCTCTCTTTGTTAGCATATTCTTTTCAGTTCAGTTAATGATTTGGGAGTGGGCACATTTTTCTTACTCTCTTTCTTTTGTTGTTGTTAAAGTCAATAGGCCCTTCTATACTGACTTCAAAAAGTGTACTTATCTAAAGGGTCTGGTACAATAGAAAACTAACTGCCTAACTGCTATAGGGGCAAAAATACACGAAGCTTAACAGAGAACTGCTGTCTGCCTGCTTACCTCTTAAAGACAGTGGTTTGCCTGGAATACTGAAAAGGCAAAGAGTTCATTTGCATTTACATCTTAAGCCTTTCCAGAAAATAATATACAGATTTAAAGCCTGTCTTAATCCTTCAATTGAAAATTCCATCTGTCCTGGGTGTTTCGGTATTAAATCTAGATCAACCTCTGTGGGTACGTGGTGAATGAAGTTGATTCTTCTCCCTTTGCTCCCATGAGGGTCCTCCCTCTCTCTGCCCTTTCTCAGAAAAATCTCCCCAGCCTGACTCTCCATGAAATACTTGCAAAGGGCTCCAAAAATTCCTCTCAGATGTGGATGTGCCCTACTCAATCAAGCAGACCTTCTTAGGTCTTACCTCAATCAAAGTGTAACCGCAAGCAGTAGCTGTATTCCCGCAGGCCCCATTTTTTGCTTTCAGCTCAGAAGGCAACCAATCGACTTAGCTAATCTGATTAATTAAGCAGGCAGGAGCCTTTTCCTCCTGGCTAACAACATAGCTGGTTGCCTATCGGAACCAGTGCTAATCTTGGTTGTCTAACCTTGACCCTGATTTCTTTTTTTTTCTTTAAGTTTGTTATTATCACTTAAGAAAAATTCTAGCCCTGAACACAAAATGGGCTGTTTCTGTGGGTACCCAGGAGAAAGAGGACTGGACTCTGTTCCTCTGGAATCTTAGTTTCCCTCTCTGTAAATTAACAGGGTTAAACTAAATCAGTAAAACATCAAAAAATTTTGAGAACCAACATAGGGCTTTAAGATCATTAAAAAGCCCCCAGACCCCCAACGATTATCATCTATTCATTATTTCATACAAGAGAGAACATTTTTAACGTTACCACCACCACCAAAGCATAATTTCAGAAAAAGGACAATTCTTTTCTTCTTCTTTTTTCTTTTTTTATTATGGTATTTTAATCACCATACATTACATCGTTAGTTTTTGATGTAGTGTTCCATGATTCATTGTTTGTGTATAACACCCAGTGCTCCATTCAATATGTGCCCTCCTTAAAACCCATCACCAGGCCAACCCATCCCCCCACCCCCCAAAAGGACAATTCTTTAAATTGAATACATTTATTTTTATAAACATTCAATACACGTCCTTATTTATCTGTTTTTCATTTCAGCACTTGTCAGTGAAAACTTTGTCATAGACTAGGTGCTTTTGAGACCTTTTCTAGTTCTAAAAATCTGTACCTCTAAAATAATACCTCTAGTCTTGTCCAAATAAATCTGACTTGGCCTCCAGGATGAGCTGGCTTCTGGATATCTTCAAATCTCTCATATCTAGCACAATGCCTGGGATAGATGAAATAATTTAAAGTTTGAAATGATCCCTGCTGAACTATAGTCATGGATATATACTCCTTATGAAAGGAGTATATCCTAGAAGTAGGGTACAGTATATCCCAGAAGGAGGTGAGGTGTACTTCCAGCCTCGTCTAAGATTTGTAGCAAGCAGTCAGGTTAGTCCTAGGCTCTAGGATTAACAACCTAAGTCTTTCATTCCTGCCCCAAATTTGAATCTGAATTTTTCTTTCTTTTTTTTTTTTTTTAAAGATTTTATTTATCCATTTGACAGAGAGAGAGAGAGAGACAGCACAAGGAGGGGGAGTGGCAGACTCCCCGCTGAGCAGGGAGCCCGACGTGGGCCTCAATCCCAGGACCCTGAGGTCATGACCTGAGCCAAAGGCACTTAACTGACTGAGCCACCCAGGTGCCCCAAATCTGAATTTTCAAAAGTGAAAAATCAAAGGGCACCTGGCTGGCTCAGTTGGTAGAGTATGCAACTCTTCATCTTGGGTTTGTGAGTTTAAGCCCCATGTTGGGCATAGAGCTTATTTAAAAAAAAAAAAAAAAGATGAAAAATCAGACTAACCATCACTCTTTAAAAGGGCATTTCCCCATGTACTCCTAAAGGCCACCCTTTCCATAACAGAGGCAGTAAATTTATTTGAGAGCCAGGGTGCCTGGATTCAAATTTTGGTTTTGCCACTAACTAGGTGCATGTGCTTGGTCAAGATGCCCCCATTCTGTGCCTAAGATTCCTTATTTATAAAATGTGGGTAAAAACTGTCAACTTCATAAATTGTTCTGTGGATTAAATGAGTTGATATACTTAGAACAGTGCTATTCACAGTTAAGTGCTCAATTATAATTTTGACTAATGTGTCTCAAGAAACATGGAAATAGAAGAACTTTTTAGTTTTACTTATTTTGAAAGATTTTTATTTATGAGAGAGAGTGTGCGTGCATGAGTGGGGGAAGGGGCAGAGGGGAAAGGAGAAGGAGAAGCAGACTCCCCGCTAGTGTGGAGCCCGACTTGGTGCTCAATCCCAGAACCCTGAGATCATGACCTGAGCAATTCAGGCATTTAACCCACTGAGCCACACAGGCGCCCTTTAAGGTTTTTTAAAAGTAATTTCTACACCCAATATTGGGGTTGAACTCATGACCCTGAGATCAAGAGTTGCAGCCTCTTCCTATGGAGCCAGCCAGGTGCCCCCAAGGGAATGGAAGAATTTTTTTTTTAAAAAGGATTAAAATGGGGATGGCTGGCGGCTCAGTTGGTTAAGCATCTGCCTTCAGTTCAGGTCATGATCCCAGAGTCCTGGGATCGAATCCCACATCAGGCTCCCTGCTCAGTGGGGAGCCGGCTTCTTCCTCTGCCTACCACTCTCATGCTTGCTCAGTCTCTCTCTCTGACAAATAAATAAAATCTTTAAGGAAAAAAAAAAGAATTAAAATGATCCTAAAAGAAGTGCTGATGCATTTAGAATTATTAACACTGAAGTGGACTATCATCTGTGAAAATAAATTAAGGAAAGCCTCACTATAGTGGACTTGGGATACTTGAAGGGGGAGGCTGGTAGGAAAAGCCATACCCCTCAATGTCAATTACAGACCCAACAGAAGAATCTTCAACAGGAAAGAATCATCAGTTACAGACCCCAATAGAGGAAGATGTCTCTTACATCTCCCACAAGAAATTGACTACCTCTGAAACTCAGCCAAGGAGAAACCAACATCACCCAGCACTCTTGCTTTTCTCCAATGGATTTTCATTCAAAACAACCTCTCCCAACGTCATTCTTCTCCATAAAAAAAATATTCCTCTTTTTTGTTTGTTGGACTTGCCTATGGTTTTGCTGTAGCTTGCTTGTCCTGGATTACCATTCTCTGCTATTCCTGTTTAAACCTATTTTTTTGCTGGTAAAATAACTGGCAGTTTATTTTTAAGGTTAACACATCAAATTCCATAAAATCAAGAAGGCAATTATAAACCTTATAAAACTACTTTCTCTCAAAGGATAACAGAGACTGAATATATAAATAGGTTCAAAATTAATGAAATTAATTTTGAATTAAAATTAAAATTAATGAATGAATGCATAATAGGTTATTGAGAGAACTGAAATGGCCTATGGCATATAATTACTTTTCTAAAGTGGAATATAGGGAACCAAATCCTTCCTACAAATGAGAAGTAGAACTCTTGTCAGCACATTAAAATGACTTTGGAAACTTAAGAGTACCAATGCCAAGGACTCAAAGCAGAGCTACTAAATTGAGAATCTCTAGAGATGGGGCCCAGGTACTGGTATTTTTTAAAAAGCTCCCCACTTCTATATATACCTACTTCTAAAGATATACCAGAGTTTGGAGACGGCTGGATAAGTCAGGTTCTTTAGAGCAACTTGTCTTAACTCTTGTATATAATTTTTCCACGACTAGAATTCCATTCCTTCATTATTTTCTCATTCTCCTCCCCCCCCCCCCCCCCGCCTTCTGCTGTCTCCTTTAGCTTCTGTTCTACTGTGCCTGGTACTTTACAACCTTCCTATGAAAATGAGCGTTCATGCATAGGTGGACACGCAGTAAGTATTAGACAAAATAATAATAACAATGATGTGTGCCTGCTCTCCCCAGATTAACTGAGCAGACATACCAGGCTGTAACGTCCTGTAGGACTACCCAACAGGTGGATGTAACAGTGTAGCATTGAGAGCTGCAGTGTTCTGTGTTGGCCAAGGAAGTAAAAATACGAAGCAGCAGCTACAAGGGAAGAACGAAGTGACAGGTCGGCTGTCTGATTTTCTGAATCCTTAATGTTATCGGGACTATTTTTTCTGGGAAACAAAATCTCCAAACACCAAGAAGCTGCTTTGCATCGCCAAAAGCTGCATAAGGGCAGGCTGCCAACAGGACTACCCAAGCACGCTGCAGTGGCATCTCCAAGCAAGTCCCTTTAATCTGCTGTCTCCTGGGCTAATCCCCACTGCGGTGCAACTGGACAACCCCCACCTGCGCGCGCCGCCCTTCCTGCCCTAGGCCCCCGCAGAGACGCACTCAGCCGCGCACGCCACCCTCCAGCCGCGCACGCCACCCTCCAGCCGCGCACGCCACCCTCCAGCCGCGCACGCCACCCTCCAGCCGCGCACGCCACCCTCCAGCCGCGCACGCCACCCTCCAGCCGCAGTGCGCGGCCTTGGCCTTGGCGGTGCGTGCGCGAAAGCGTAGAGGGGCGAGCCGAAGCCGGGGGAGGCGGGGCATAGACTCACAGTCTGCAGTCCATTGGTTCTCTCCCCGTAGTCCCCGCCCCCAAGCGTTCGAGACGGTGGGGCGGGCCACGTCAGGCAGCCGGCGCGGGGCTCCGCTCGTAGCAGAAGGGAGGTAAGCGATGCGGGGTGGCGGGCGGCGAGCTGCGGGCTGCTGCCCCCTGCTCAGAGGCCGCGGCCTCGCGCTCCACTGTGGCGTGCCTCAGCTTGGCGTGGAGGGCGGCTGAGGCCCTGCGGGCCTGGGGCTGTGCTGGGAAATGGGGAAGGGGAGCATGTGGCGGCAGGGCCGCGCCGGGGCGTGGGTGGCCCGTAAGGGGACAGGTCTTGCTCTTTGCCCTCGTCCTGTCCTGTCTGGGCTCAGAACTCCAGCAGGACAAGGCCTGCTGCGTAGGAGAGCTCCGCGATGCCTGGGCGGGGCCGGCCCCGGTGCCTGCGGTGGGGCTCAGCGGGATCTTGACTCGGAAACCTCCGCGCGATCCTTGCAGACTTACCTGCAGCAGGTTGCAGTTCCTCCACTCTTCCCTGACCGGTTCCCTAGTTAAAGGCAGTGCAGGGGATTCCGGGCCGGTTCCTGGTTGGCTGGGGGGACAGTCTTATTATTACCAGTGACTCATTCAGATCCTGTCCACTTCAATGCAAAGGCTTATGGGTGAGCAGGGCCTGTTTTCAGACTTCTTGATTCTCTGGCTCTGTCCAACCTTGCGGGAATTACCTGAAAAAATAGCATATATGTGTGGATGTATGTTTTGAAATGCCTGCAACAGCTATGCGGAGATTTGCAGAGACTTGGCTGTTGTGTTACACATAGGAGTTGTGTGTTGCACCATGAGTTTTAATTTCATCTGTGGCATCGTCATGATCCTCAGTTCAGCTCCTCAAATTGGAGCTTCTAAAATCAATGAAGTCATCCTATCAAGTATCATGCAGTCATTCATTCATCCATTCAACAAACTTTTTGGTTGAATTCCTTGATGGTCAGGGTCTTATGTCAGAAACTAAAATGGGCATTCCCTGCCTTTTCTCTCATTTTATCTGCAAGTTTTATTGTCTAGATTTGAGATGTAATTTTGTTATTGTTTTTGATGGTTCAATTTCAGGTTCCAGATTTAGGTACAGAAGCTTATATAGAGCTATTCTGAGACCTCATGCGGTTTTTCTTACTTTCTCCTCCAGTAAACTTCAGACCATGATGTTTAATCCTGCTAACTGTACTATGGAAGACCCTAGGTCTCAGGTGCCTATCTGTAAAGTGAGGGGATAGAAGTATTCCGTAATTTTTATTTTTTTAATTTATTTTTTATTTTTATTTTATTTTAAAGATTTTATTTATTCATGAGAGACAGAGAGAGAGAGAGAGAGAGAGGCAGAGGGAGAAGCAGGCTCCCAAGGAGCAGGAAGCCTGATGCGGGACTCGATCCCAGGACCCTGAGATCATGACCTGAGCCGAAGGCAGACGCTTAACCATCTGAGCCACCCAGGCGCCCAGTATTCAATAATTTTTAGATATTCAAGGAGAGGAGGGGCAATTGGCATGTGTTAACAGTTAACTGAACTGTGTTAACAGTTGAGAAGTGACCATTTTAAAAACACAATGTATATTATGATTATATGCTTTAATCTTTCTGAATCTGTCCACATTACTTTTTGACTGGCAAGCAAGTGCATATTTACAATTTTGATTCACATTCAGTTCCTGCATACAAAGCACTATGACTCATCTAAATTTGGAAATGTAATAATCAGAAGCTTTTTAATGTTATGTTTAAAGGTATGATATAAAAACAATTAGCGGTGCTTGGGTGGCTCAGTTGGTTAAGTGTCCCACCCAGGATTTGGCTCAGGCTCAGGTCACTGTGCTCCACGGGGAGTCTGCTTGAGATTCTCTCCGCCTCTCTGCCCCTCCCCCCCATGTGTGCTTGTGCTCTCTCACTCTCTCTAAAATAAATAAATCTTTAAAAAATTGTATAAGATGCAATTTTCAAAGTAATTTCAGTTGCAGTGGTAGATTAGTGGTAGCTAAAAACTCTGCTTTGGTTATCTTGCTTACTTGGTTAAATGTTAGGTAGTTATCATCACCTGGCTAATACCTATCAATATCATGTATACGTTAGCATTTATTTTATCAAGCTAAAAATTACTGGATTTCAGTTGATTGCTACTTCCACTTGAGAATTGATAACCATAAATAATAAGTGGCTCTTCCACTTGAGAATTGATAACCATAAATAAATCAATAGCTTGAGAATGAAAATGCCCATAGAGATATAACAATAGCTTTTCTTTTCTTTTTTTTTTTTTAGGATTTTATTTATGTGAGAGAGAGTCAGCAGGAGCGGGGGAGGGGCAATGAGAGAGCGAGAAGCAGACTAGCTGCTGAGCATGGGCTCAATCCCAAAAGCCTGAGATCAGGACCTGAGCTGAAGTCAGATGTTTAACCAGCTGAGCCACCCAGGCTCCCCATAACAATAGTTTTTCATTTGCCGTTTGGTTGATGGGACTTAAAAATAAATCATTTGGCCTTCCTGCAGGTGTAAAATGATTTCTAAAATATTTCTGAGTCATAGACTTGTGATACTTTTTGGATGTTGTCCACAAACCATTATGTGAATTAAATTGTTTATGTTACTATTAGGGATTTGGAAAGTTTAAGGAAATACAGCTTTTCAAAAATTTGCTTTTGCTATACCTTTCTAGTTCTAGAAATGGCCAGATGGAGATGGGAAGATTGAAGAGAAATGCAAGAACTGAGGGGAAAAAATCCAAGAGGAGGCTTTTCTAGTTTAAAATTTGAGAAAAAACACAATGAAAAGTACAATTATAACTATATTTAGAAGAAAAGTAAGGAAATAATAGTGTCAGGATTATTGGTAGGTCTGTAGAACAACTTGATTTTTTTTTTTTAAAGAATTTATTTATTTATTTGACAGAGAGAGAGCGCAAGAGAGGGAACACAAGCAGGGGGAGTGGGAGAGGGAGAAGCAGGTTTCCCGCCGAGCGGGGAGCCCGATGCGGGGCTCGATCCCAGGACCCTGGATTCATGACCTGAGCCGAAGGCAGATGCTTAACAACTGAGCCACACAGGTGCCCCCTCAACTTGATTTTTTTAATTGTAGTATAATTGGCATATAATATCCCTATTAGTTTCAGGTGTATATCATAGTGATTTGATATTTTTATACATTATGAAATCCCCGTAAGTCTAGTTATCATCTGTCACCATGCAAAATTCTTACAATCTTAGTCACTATATTCCCTAGGCTGTATATTACATCCCCATGACTTACTGATTTTATGTTTGGAAGTTTGTACCTCCTAATCCCCTTCAGCTATTTTGTGTGCCTCCCAAATACTACCCCCTCTGGTAACCAACAGTTTGTTTACTGTATCTATGACTTTCTGTTTTGTTTGTTTCACTTAGCACAATACCCTCCAGGTACATCCGTGTCACAAATGGCAAGATTTCATTCTTTTTTTTATGGCTGAGTAGTATTCCTGTGTGTGTGTGTAAATAAAATGCACCACATCCTCTTTATCCATTCATCTATCAATGGACATCTATTAATGGTTCTTAAAAAAGAAACCCAGTGTGATAATTTAAACTTTGATCTTTGATCACATTACATGTGGGTAAATACTTTTTTTTTTTAGGAGATGTGAAATCTATATCATGTGTGTACATGTATATTTTTTTTAAATTTTATTTAAGTAATCTCTATATCCAACGTGGGGCGGGAACTCATGACCCTGAGATCAAGAGTTGCATGCTTCGGGGCCCCTGGATGGCTCAGTCAGATCTTTAAAAAAAAAAAAAAAAAGTCACATGCGTCTCCGACTGAGCCGGCCAGGCACCCCTGTATTGTATATTTTTTTAAAAAGTGCTACAGGTCTAGAGATAAGTAGTATAATAAAATATGGTATACTTACGTCAGTATAAGTCTGTGATTCATAATTCATGATAAATTGGATCGAGGTAGTGTGTACTATTTTTTTTTAAGATTTTATTTATTTGAGAGAGAGCAGAGAGAGCGAGTGAGCACAAGCCGGGGGAGTGGCAGGGAGGGGGAGAAGCAGGCTCCCCACTGAACAGGGAGCCCAACACGGGGCTCGATCCCAAGACCCTAGGATCACGACCCAAGCCAGACGCTTAACCAGCTGAGCCGCCCGGGCGCACCAGTGTGTACGATCTCTACATGATAAGAAACAAGATGTGCTAAGCTTATGGGACAAAGGATGTTTATCAGTTTTTCTCCCATTTAAATTATTTGAAACTTTCAAGCAACGTGGAAGATCCCATCTGTTTTCAAACAACAGATTCAACATTGTTGTTTTTATAAATTGAGTCCCCAAGGTACTACTGGCTTCATAATTTTTTACCCTATTTCAAGTCACATTGGAAGTAATAACATTGCATTTATGATTTTGAAATTTTGTTAAATTTATATTTGCTTTCATTCATTTAGACTGAGTTACTTTAGTTTTTATATTGTGAAGATGTTCAAAAGCTTTGATATTAAATACCATATAGTTTTCCATTGTTCATTATGGGAAAACATTTCTTTAGGCCCAAGGAGTTTGAAAATCCAAGCTGCATAGATAGTCAGCTGTTATTATTATTTATTTAGAGATTTATCTTTTCATTTGCCTGGGGACCAATGAAACAGTCCACCCAAGCTTCTAAACTGAAGATTTCGGTTCTTTTCAGTGCATTAAACTGTATCTTCAGACCTCGTTTTGCTTGCTAATTTGGCTGATAAGCATGTTGAACAAATGTTACAATTGTGAATGTTGTAACTATAGTTTTGTTAAGTTTTCTGGCTGCCAGGGTGTACTTTTCTCTTGTCTCTTTAAAAACCTTTTCCTTTAGCTTAGCTGCTCTCAGAATTATTTTTTTTTTTAATATTTTTATTCATAAGAGACAGAGAGAGGCAGGCTCCCCACTGAGCAGGGAGCCCGATGCGGGACTCGATCCCAGGACCCTGGGATCATGACCTGAGCCAAAGGCAGACGCTTAACCATCTGAGCCACCCAGGCACACTCAGAATTTTTTTTAAAAGATTTTATTTATTTGAGAGCGAGAGAGCGCAAGCACACACAGGAAGGGGGGAGGAGCAGAGG